TAGAAAAATAAAGAGATAATATATATATATATATATATATATATATATATATAATATCGCGTTTTCACATAATTTTTTATCATTATCTTTTGAAAGAGTTTTTTTTTCTTTTCCTATTTTTTATTGTTATCTTTATTTTATTAGGTCTTTATTTTCTTCTTCTTTATCTATTCATGCTTTTACATTTGTTTTTGTTTTATTGTTTTTTATTGTGTTTTTATTAGCATCTGCTTTTCCTTTTAATTTGTTTCTTACATTACTTTTTTTTAAAATAATAATAATTAAAAAAATGAATAAAAATAAAAATAATAACAAAACGGAATCGGTTGCACCAACAGGATTCACTCAACAGAAACCCATTTTTTTTCCATCACGACATGACAAACAAAAAAACCCATTCCCCCACCCAATTTCAAGGGATCTTCTTGCTTCCACTGATCGCTCTCACACCTCACTACGGGAGCTAGAAGAAAAGGATTATTCTCCTTTCAACTCCGTTCACCTCTGGCGTCTTCCATCAACCATTACTCACTTTCAACATCATCAATCCCCTGTTGCTGCAACTACCTTTCACCTAGAAGAGACAAAGAAAGCATCCGAATCTACAATCGCAGAAAGAAAACCAAACAAAAAAACAGTTTCTCAAGGTGAGTCTTCTATTCTAGCTTAGCTAGCTTATTTGATCTTGTGTATGAATCAAAGATTTGCTACGATGGCTGCTTGCTAGTCTCATTTTCTCTTGCGTGCACGAATAGATGTTTCTGCATTGCTATTTTCATTTTGTTGCTGCATTGGCTTCATAACATCCCTATCACAATCATCTCTTGATCACCCTCTCCATGAGAAGAGGAGGTTTTTGCTCGATCTTTCGTTCTTATCTTCGCTAAAAAGGAACCAATTCCATCACCTGAAAAACAGAGATGAACCACTCAGGCAGAGACAAAACAGATTCTGAGTTTCTCTTCATGTTTCCATCATCCCAAAGAACCTGAAATAAAAAACCCCTAGCCATTCGTAAAACCGATTCATCAACACCCAGCCATTGCTGCAGAACACCAAAACGGATTCATCAAATACCCGTTCCTTGCCCAAGTAACAAAGAACATTAATAATTTCAACCCCCTCTCTGTTATGACTTTGCTCAATTAGCAAACTGTGATTAGCCCAGTTTCAAACTCGTAATCCTGGGCCAACGGCGATCTTGGCAGCAAGGGCGGTGAGCCCTCGACTTTAAGGTTTCGGAAGAGCTGCGCGTCGATATACGAAATGGCGAGGATAAAGGTGTGCAAGCTGAGGAACAAGGCGAAGGCGGAGTTGCTGAACCAGTTGAAGGATCTGAAGGCGGAGCTCGTTCTGCTTCAGGTGGCTAATTCTTGAAAGCAGACGACGCGGCGCGGAGAGGCGAGAGTTTTTTTTTTCTCTCTCGCGCAAGACGCATAGCAGGAAGAGAGAGTCTGGTGCTGTGGCCGGCGACGGCTCCGGCGGCTGGCGTCGTCACTGGCGACGCCATGGGCCGCGGCTCGCGGTAGCCAGTGTCGGTGGGGGCGGTGGCACGCATGCAATGGGAGGCAAACCCTCCATAGGGTTCCCTGGTTTAGGAGAAGAGACTTTAGTCTCGATGAGCACAAATGGAATGAAGATGGTTGAACCCTGAATGGGTTTCTGAGTTAGGGGATAAGGGCTTTGGGTGTAGCTCGTGGGCTGCCTTTTTCCTTTGTGTTTGAAGCACTGCTTCGACTCATGCACGGGTGTTGCTACACCACCACAAATTTCTTCCTCATAATTAAAAAATTAAAAAAATAAACTGAAATGAAAGATCCAACGTCCGTAGGCCAAGCCAAACGGATATGCGTTTAAGTCTCCATATCTATCATTTATTTCTACGTTTTCTTCGCCAACTGAGTTTTTTTTCGATGTGAGGTGTGAGGGTGAGTGAGGAAAATGGAAAAGAAAAGGAGAAGAGGGAAGGGAAGGTGGTGGGTGACGGAAATGGAAAAGAGAAAGAGAAGAGAGAGGTGGGGTGTGGTGTGTGCTGGAATCAGGGTACAAAATCAGGGTTTTAAATTAAAAATATAAAAAGTTAATTTAAAAGTAAAAAGAAAAATTAACTTAAGGATAATTTTGAAAAAAAAAATAAATTGAGGAGGTGCTGGAAGAAGGTAGTGGTGGTGGAGGGAGCATCTTTCCTCATGCACTCCTCTGATTTCCTTTGTTTTTTTTTCTCCTAGTTGGGCCTTGAGCCCACTTCCAATTCAGAAAACCCTAAAGAAGGTTTAGGCCTTGGCCTTGTGATTTTTTGTTATCATCCGCTGAACGTTAAAATTTTGGTTTAAACCCTCCCTTGGTCCTTAAGTTTGTATGAAAATCTCATTTGGGTCCTCAAGTTTTTTTCTGTCTCAATTGGGTCATATTTTTTGTAAAAGTGAGCACATTGTACCATAACCGTTAAGTGGTGTGAGACGACATTAAATTGGTGTGAGCTGGAGCACAAAGAATGTGGTGATGTGTTTAGGGTTTCTTACGTGGACTGTTTTGTTTAAAAAAATAGTGCTGATGTGGCATAAGTAGGTATATCAGAATTAGGGATTTGAAAATTGGAATTGGGGATTTAATTTGGTTGTTGCGAGGAAGCTGAATCGGTAACCGCAAACGACGCGGTTGGTCCGGCGAGCGAGTGCGAACATTCATGGTTTTCAGAGGATAGTAAGTTGAAAGATGAGTCAGTGTTTGGTATTCCTGAGGACGTTGTATTCGGATTTGAAAGCACTTTGGATATGTTTGACGAGTGTGATAACAACGTTGCAGAGAGCAGTGGTATATTCTTGGGAGATGATTTTGATTTGAGTGGATGCTTTGTTAGTGAGAAAGAGAATTTAGATTTGGGTTTTGGTTTTGGGTTTACGAGTTGGCAAAGAGAGTGCGATAATTTCCAAGACATTGGGGATTTGTTTGTTTGGGATCCTCTTG